CCCTTTAGGGAGGGTAGGGTGGGCAATTGGCAGTGGGAGACTCCAGTCTGGGGCCAGTTCTTCCATCCAGCCTGACCATCCTGGTGTTCACTCCCATGCTCCCAGGCTGTGCCTTGAACCCTTTTGCACTTCTCCTCCAATTGACATGGTAATCCCTTTTCAGGGATGCCCTTTTGCAGGCCAGCAGTCCCCCTGGTGGTGTTCAGGTAAAGTGGCTACCTTGCCTTTTGTTCTCTTCCTCCAATCAATGTGGCAATTGTGGTCAGGTTGGGGAGGACCTTCTGTGGGCCAATGGTCCCCCTGACTGTGTTCAGGCAAAGCAGCTCTGTCTCCTTCCTGTGTCACCCCTCCATTCCAGAAAAGCCTCTCCCCTTGCTGGGTGAGGGGCTTGGGGGCAGTGGTCTTCCTCCTCTCAGAGGTTTGGCTGAACCCTGCCAAGCAAGACCCAGAGGTCTGACCAGCCTAGAGATGCCAGTGAGAGTTGGCAGGCCCAGGGGGGAGCCCCATGAAGTTCCCCTCCCCTCCACCCTCCCTGTCTCATGGATGCTGTCTTCTTCAACAGCCACTGTAATGATGGATGCTGCTGAGGTCCACCTCGCCACCCCCACCATGTTGCTTGAGGGGGCCTGCCAGGGAAAGCAGGTAGGAAGAGGGTGCTCAGGCTCTGGCTCATTGCCTACCTTCCCTCCCCACTGTCCTTCCCTATGCAAGGTCCTTGGATCAGCCCCAGGGGGACTGCTACCCCCAGTGGTCCACCCTGCCACTGCACTGCAGCCCCCATGCCTTCCCTACCCTGGGAGAGTGAGGATGGAGGGGCAGCAGGAGCCAACCCTCACAAAACATTAAGACCCTGATATACTTTGTCTTCTTCTGCAAGGAGTGGAAGGGAAGGGAAGCCTGATCCATGTCTATTTGTTTCTCAGGCCACTGCCTTCTCATAATCCACAAAATGGAAGCACAGCTGTGTTACTGAAGAGGGTGTAGTCATGAATGTAGCTGGCTGCAATTCCAATTAGGCATGGCTGCCTCATTGGGAACAGGGCCCAGCTGATCTTTGTAAGAGCTGGGCCCTGAACAGCAAATACAGCAGTTTACTGCCAGCAGCCAGAGACACACCACCAACTGAGCTGCTGCTCAGAATACCTTGGAGGTAAGGGAGGAACTATGGGGGTGGCAGGAGTTTCCTGGTCCTGGGTATGACAGAAAACTGCACCCTGCTGGGGAAGGATGGTCTGGTGGCTTAGTTCCTGCAACTGCCAGGCCAGTTGCCTCTCCAGTGAAAGGTGAGTATGGGGTGCCTTCTAACCCCAGCCCCATATCCCTGGTGGGTAGTAAGACTGAGCAGGGGGAGCCCAGATTCATTGTGAGTGCCAAGTCAGAGACCAGGTCCAGTGGAGGGACCTTAGGCAACACCCAGACTCGCAGTTGAGACCACTGGAGCCAGGAGCAAGGCTCCAGGAGGGTGGGGCTGTGAACCTTTGTGGAGCTATTAGTGAAACTCTTGTGCAAAGAGATAAGGGACTATGCCTAGGGAGGACAGGGGATGGGGGTTGGAGCCCTGATCCTTGTACTGCAGACTTGAAGCCCAGAGATAGGGCCTGGTGCCCAGAGTTGAGAGGGGGTTGGAGCCCTGGGATTGGATGGAGCTTGAGGCCCTGAATTGGTAAAGGCTCCAATACCCTCAACTCTGGGTGCCAGCCCTGAGGGGGAACCAGGCTGGGAGCCCAAGTGAGTGAGTGGCTAGGTGGTAAGCCAGATAAGTAGGCCAGGTGTCAGGCCATGGGACGTCTGCAAAGCACTGCGACTATAAGCTCCAGAGAGGACTGAAAGTCCCATGTGAGACTCTGGAGCTCGGGTCCCAGTGCGAGGCATTGGAGGAAGATCTGAGAGGCATGGGACATAATAAGGGATGGTCAGAGCCAGGTACATAGGCCCTTGTCACCAGGGCAAGTAAACGGGCAGCCTCCCACCTGCTTAACATCATATAATCATTAACACCAAGGTGTGGCAGACGAGGAAGGTGGGTAGTTGGCCCTAAGACAAGTTGGTGGGCTAAGGATCAGATTGGTGCCAAGGCACCCACTTGTTACAAGCTGGAAAGGGGCAGAGGGGTGTGGAAGCTAAATACCAGCCTGCCAGAAGATGAAAAAGACTCAGCGCAGTTTCAGAGAGCATTATGCAGGGTAGAGGACCCTCAGAGACCTGTACCCAAACCAGACAGTGGTGGGCCAGCATCAAAGAGAAGACCAAAGTCTTCTTCCAGCAGGTTGGCAAATGATGAGCCTTCTTCCAAAGGCGGCAGCATGAGGACCTGACCCATAAGTTGCAGGCCCTGCACAGGCAGGCAGCAGCAGGCTGCGATGTGAGGGATGAGGTGAAGGCCCAGATTGGTACTTGGTACTGGGAGGAGGCCAGGAAAAAGATCTGCCAGGCCAAGGCCCCCTGGGTGGAGAAGAGGGAGGAAAAGTGGTCTGCTTACTTTAGGAAGTTAAAAGAAGAGAAGAGAGAAGCTCATGCCATGTCTGAGAGGCAGAGCAGGAGCAGAGCACTGGTTTAAAGAAGACATGCTGGAAATAATGGAAAGACAGCCAGAGGCAGATTTTTTTTATAGGTTGAAATGTGCTAAAGGCCTGGAGCTTCTGCTTGCGACCATTCGTTTCAACTCTGGCCAATATCCATGTCTGAGCACGGGTGACACAGGCCAGCTACAGGTCTGCAACATTCCTACAGGGATAGATTATTAACACCAGGGAGATTTGAAACTATGTTAAGTACCACTCATTAACCACAAACCAACAAGCCAATGAACAGCTTTGGTAGTAAACAAGAGGGACCTAAAAGTGCAAATATGCAAAGAGAACTAAAAGTTTAAAGGAGGTTTCTTCGATTTCTCAACATTAAGAGACACTAGAAGCAGCGCTGGCAAAAATCCTATGTCATTTTGAGATGCATCTCAATTATCCAATGGAAAAGATTCAATGTGCAGTGAACATCTGCAATAGCAGGACTTTGAATTCAGTGAGGATGAGAAGATGATCCCCACTCAGTCCTGTGCCCTGTGGAAATGCTCATGCCTCATAGCATTTTACTATTACCAGTAAAGCCAAAAAGAAAATGAAAAACTGTTCAAGACTGCATGGTTCCCTGCACTCTAGGCCAAATTCAGCCCTCATACAAATAGGATGCCGATGCTGAACTGGGTCTTCTTGGACTGCCAAATCTCTTGTGTGCACATGCCTCACTGAGGATACCATGCAAGAGGAAAAAGGGCAGCAGTTTTGTAATAAAATATATTAAATCACTGTATGGGACAGGTGTACCATAATGAACCATTAGTGCACTGTGGGTACTCAGAATTTCTCTCTTGCCCCACAATCTTAACAGAGTCGCATGCGTTCAGCAGGGTATTGCACTCAGAGGTGTCCCTGTAAAACTCCTTTGGACTTTAATACAAATGTTCTACCCTTGGATAAATGTTTTACAATACATCATGCTGACTAACTGAAAAGCAACAACTGACAAGGCAACTTGGTGAAATGTCACCATGCTTAGCAATGGTTACGTCAGTTTTCTGGATTCATTGGAAACTCCAGGATTTGGTGTTTGGCGTGAGTTTTTACATAGCCTCCATAGTCTCTGGTTCATTAAAAGATATAAACCAGTATAAACTTCCACCCATGACTATAGCATAGCTGCGCCATTTTTTAACCAGCTAAGGAATGTATTGTATCACTACAAATGTTCATTGAAATGGGCTTGTGTGGGGGTAAGCACCAGGAAACCCAAGTCTTATTTGGGCTCAAGGACAATGTTGGCACAAGAACAAGTGGGTGAGCACTGGCTATGAGTGCATTGATGCTGGAGATGAAAGGAAGGTTCCTCACCATCAGAAAAGTGACATTTTGCAAGTCTCTCCCAATCAGAGCAGTGAGAGCAAAAAAAGTCATTTTAAAGATGGGACTTGACAAGGCAGTGTTGGGAATCAGATCACACAAGTGCTTGCAGAAACAGAGGTCTGGATGCAGGGACGCAGGATCTCCCCCAGTCCAAAGTCCTTACAATAAATGGCACGGCAAGAAGGCAGAACACCATCTAAGTTTTTACAGCTCCCTGCACTGGGCACTGGGCACTGGGCCTGAATTTGGCTCAAATAGGTGTCAGACTGCACTGTGCCTTATAGGTTTCCAGAATCTCTTCTGGCCTCAAAATCTATGAACTGAATAAAACACACATTTCACTGTTTGCTCCTAAAGGGGAGAGAGAATGTTTCTCTTTCTGTTGCTCAAGGACCTTCTTACTGAAGTTTCAAGCTAAATTGTTAAATAGCCTAACCAGGTACACTTGCAAGTGAGCAATTCAGCAAAAATTTAGGTCAAGACAGAATTTAAAAAATCCCAACGTGGACCTGGGTTTTGTACTCTACTGCTTAACGTATACTACGCTATATAGAATATAACACTATGCGCTATACTCCATTCACTATACATTACTACACAAGGTAAAACAATATTTTTAAAAAAGTGCTCCTTGTAAGTGTCTCTCTGGATTAATAGTCATAAGGTTATTCTTTTTCCCTATATAAGTTTGACTTTGTTCCAAATTAGCTATGCCTATCACCAAACCACCAGATGTACTCATGGCAACCTTGTAGCTTTTACCTGTTTTTGTCCCACACATTTTACTCAAGGTCTCTAAAAATGATTTTGTACCTTGTGACATTTTCTCCCCTCTTCTAGCAAAACTGTAGTCAAGCAGATACAAATATCTCCTTTCAATAAGCAGCTTAAGGCCTACTATAGCCTACACATTTCACATGGTAGATCAATAAGCCTCGAGTCTGAAACGGTGCATACGATGGGATGGAGTGTGGACAGGACTGGAGCAAAGGTTTCCCACGTTCAGTTCTTTACCTCTAGCGCTGCCTGCCCAGCCACAAAAAAGCCTCATCAACAAAAGGTTACTAAATAACCAGTGTTTATAAAAGCCTCCCTAATCCTCTTTACATAGGAGGTTTCTTATTGTGCTATTCTGAATAAAGCTGGAGAAGAGACGTGGTTATAAGGAAGCTGGGCACTTAAGCAGGAAGAGTCAAGCTTTTTTATTGCTGGGCTGAGTGTGCTTCCTGCTATATAAATCTCCTCTGGACTGCCCAGCATATGAGAGTCCGTTCCCCCCGGATGAAAGGGAAGGGCCAATATCTTACCGTTGACTAGGCCTTCTCTTTAGGGACAGACACAACAGCAGCGTGAAAGGCAGCAAGAAGACACCTTTTGCTGACCCTGAACCAGCAGGACCATGGCATACATGCTGGAGGAAATAGCGAGACCTTCCCTTTCCACCCTATCCCTATGTGCAGGGCTTTGCCTCATCTTGGTGCTGCTAAAAGTGCTTCAGCTGTATTGGAAGAAAAAAGAGCTCATCAAAGCTCTTGAGAGCTTCCCAGGCCCGCCCAGACACTGGCTATATGGCCACAACCCTGAGGTAAGGAGAGGGTGGGGAACAAGCTGTATATGCCTGGAGGGTCAGGTCTGACGAGCCAGTTGTGAGAGGGGAAGGAACAAGGCACAGGGAATCTGCTGGAAACGACTTTCCTTTCATCCAAACTTGCAGTTGTGCAGTTAGCATCAGATTTAGGCATGTTGTTTAGCGCAGAAGAAACACTTGGCCTTGTTTTTGGCTCCTTTAAAAAATGCTGAGAGTCCTACCAGTTTAAGCAGGGCTGCTAAAAGCTAAACACAAGCTTAAATACTTTCCATGGTCAGGGCCTTGGTGATGGCACAAGCCTTTCCCTTTTGTTAAAAGTGCATGCCTTTCAGGTCCACTCCTTGCACTCAGCTGGGTTGGGATGGGTGGAGAACTGTCAAAGGTTTGGTGGGGTGGGGGTGAAAGGAGACTTGGAGCAAGACTTAAGTCAGAGTAGCCTCAGGTTTACATAGACTCATAGAAAGTGAGGACTGGAAGAGACCTCAGGAGGTCACATCTACTTCAAGCAGGACCAGCCTCAACTACATCATCCCAGCCAAGGCTTTGCTAGCCAGGTCTTCAAAACCTCCAAGGATGGAGAGTCCACCACCTCTCTGGGTAACCTATTCCAAGACAACTAGAAATGGGCAATCCATTCTAGCTGTCCCATTTCAGGACAATGAGAACACAACACTGCCCTAGATATATATTCATCCTGACCAGGAGCCAGGAGAGCCTGGGTGAAGGCTAGAAAGGTGTTTTGTTTACTACCAGGAGGAAATTGTCCTGGGAGAATACTTGCAGCTTTATGCCCTCTTTGAACTGCTGGTATGCCACAGCTTCCAGCCAATTTGGAGCCAGCGTAGAGTCTCATCCCTCACTGGGGGTGCAGATTCCTTCCATGCAAGTCCACTCCACTTTCTCCTCACCTTCTGTGAAGGGGGCTAGAAGGACTTGTGGGGATTTTCCATGTTGGGGTGAATTTCACCCCATCTCTCTTATATATGTCCCTTCTGCTCCAAGCTCTTCCTTTCTCTTTCAACCTTGATTTCAGATCTCTCAAAGTGAAGAATTAAGCAAGGTGCTGGCTTGGTCTGAAAAATACTCGTATGCCTTCACCAGATGGTTTAGGGGGTTCATACCTACCTTGGTAATCAGTGATCCCGATTATGCCAAAACTGTGTTTAGCCGACGAGGTAAGGACATCACATCTTGTTTCAGGCAAAAAAAATCTATCAGTGGATTCTTCCTCAGTACAAGTGTCTAATTATACTTCCACCGAGAGCAATCAGGACTCTTCTCCCTACGTGGCTCTTCAATTAATTTCTGTTGTTCCCTCCATTATGCCCCTTCCCAAACCCTGAGCTCTCTAAATATCTTAGGGGCGAAACTCCAAACATAGAATATAAATGTTTCCCAGGAAAGTTATTGAGATAAGCATAGTATGGTCCCCTAGTGAGCATTTCAAACCTTCTCTCCTTCTCCTTTTCCTAGTTTTGGAAGCTACAGTGAGAATGATGAAGCCCATTCTACAGCTGTAGTGAACAAGTCCCCATTACGTTAAATGTTATACAAAGACCTTGTCAATGATAGTCTTTGCCCTCGATGAATTTCTGTCTTCTGGTATATTTACAGATTGCTCCTTTTAGGGAGCATCTACACATGTGCCTTACTGTGGAGTAGCTAATTTGCTCCACAGTAAAGCATCACCATCTACACGTGCGCCACCATTAGGCTGAAGTAGACTAATTTACTCTGCCATTGGATAATTCCATCAGGCACAGGTACTAGCTGATGGCAGAGTAAATTAGTTCAATTAAACACACACGTAGATGGTGATGCCTAGATTAGTTTACTCCAGTGAAAGTTGCATTGGAGTTTACTCAGTCACATTATTTGCATGTGCAGATGAACCCTTAGGGTGGGGAAGCATAGGAAAGGGGAGATTTTTGCCGTATAGCCCAAATATGCTCTGAACCCTGGCTACCCAAAACTTGAGCATTTTATTGTGCAAGTACATGATCCCAGAAAAGCAGAACTATCCTGGTAGATTTCTCTTAAAAAAAATAGCTGGGACATGTTACATTAATGCCTTTAGAGATCTGGCTCAAGGTCTTCATCTGGCAATGACATCTCCACTGTGTTCCTCTCATCCTTCCTCACCCTCTCAGTTCTTTGGTGTTTGCCTGATTTAGTGAGTTACTTATACAAGAGATATATATACCAGATATAAATAAACTATACCAGAGATATATACCAGACCTAGACGTGCTACGACACATCTCTGTTATCTGAATACTTTGTCATGATTAGAAGAGTGAAGGCACACCAGAAATATTTCCAGATTGTCAGTCACTCTCATGGCGTTCATATATTTTAACCTGTAACACTGTGCTTTTGCCTCTTATGTTGAATTTTACAGATCCAAAGACTGATCTAGCCTACAAGTTCATCATTCCCTGGATTGGTACGTAGACTCGTGCTTCACCCCACCGTGAAGCCAGCAAATATATGATGGACTATGAACACTCTATGACTTTAACCATGAACCCTAAGCATCAGCTTTGACCCTAATTTTTTTTTTTTGCGTTATTGGCTCATGGCATGTTTTATGTTCTTGTCCTGTAGTTTTATGTATTTGATTCTTCTTTATTAAAAAAAGCCAGAGAAGATAGCTTTTCCCAATGGAAAGCTCTGGAAAACTACATATTAAATAGGCCAGTCCTCCTTAATCCAGAATCCTGCTCCAACAGCAGATTATAGCTGAGATTTCACAACCAATTCAGGATAAAGTTTGGGCAAGTCAAATGTTCACCACTCTTACATAAAATCAGCCTCACTGTTTTCCAGCTCCCTACTTGGTGACACCATACCCCACCTGGAGTTTAATGGAGGTGACTGGCAGCATTATTTGGGTGTCAAGATTATTTCCTTAAATGATGCATGTTGGAAAAAAAAAAAAGTCAGATGGACTCAGAGCCTAGATTGACAAAGTGCTTCATGAAAGCACTTTATTGATATATTTATACAAATTCTGGACATTAACATCAAAATCCTGAAAACCAAAAAAGGAGGAGAGAGGAAAAAAAAGAAAATTAAATGGGTTTCTACATTCTTTTAAATACCTTAGCATTAAAAGAGACCCAATTCCATTACCAACTTCTCTTCCTACAAGACCCTGAATTTTGGCCAGTCACTAGAGCCAAAGGACATAATGATACAAATGCTATGAAAATTAATAAGATGAACTCATAGTTTGGGGGAAGTATCTGACCATCTCTTTATTATTTGTTTTCCTCCAGGAAAGGGATTATTGATTTTAAGTGGGCCAAAGTGGTTCAAGCATCGGAGGCTGCTGACTCCAGCATTTCATTATGACATATTGAAACCTTACGTGTCATTGATTTCAGATTCTACCAAAGTGATGCTGGTAGGAATGGTCACCATTGTTGTATTCATTTCAGCTACAGAGGTAGGACAGTAACTGGATCTGGGACAGAAGGATGGGAAGAAACTGGAATGAGAAGTTACACAGATCATCTTTCACAGAAATATACTACAACCATGTTAGTAAAAGGCCCAGATCCTCATATGGTGTAAAAAAATCACCAAAGCTCCTTTCAAATGAGCTGAACTACAACAATTTACTTCAGCCAAGGGTAGACCCAATGTATTGTCTTTCACCTGGTAAAATAGATAGGAATAAAATCAGAGTATAATATTTTTCAGTCCAATAGTGATGAGCTGTAACAGAGCAGCTTTAGTACTCTGTCACTAAGAGCTAGACCAGGGAGATGGCAGGTGCCCAATTAGGGCAGCCATTTAATGCTCAGCTCCCTGGGGTGGAGGGAGAAGTTTGAGATCTGCCAGCAGAGAAGAAACATCTCCCTGCTGAGCTTCGGCTCCAGAAAATACCCTGGAGGTAAGGATGAGTCTATGGGAAAGGAGGGGGCCTCAGTGGGAGGGAAAGGCACACGAGTCCCAGGGGTTGTAAGACCCCACGCCCAAGAAGGGGGCATAAAGTTGGACCAAAGAAGGGGGCAGGAAGAGCCAAGGGCCCAGGGAGGGGCCTGTGGCAAAAGTCAGCCTAGTGTTAGGTAAGGACCATCACCTACAGAGTACGCTACAAGAAGCGCCCATAGGGTTGTGGTGGGGGGGGGCAGGATCTCCCAGAGTGTTATGGAAGCAAATGGCTTGAAGGCCACTCAAGAGGAACAGGGCAGGTTGGTAGAGGCCCAGTGAAGGGTGGTATGAAAGAGGCGGCAGAATGAATGTGAAAGGCCTAGCATGGGGCAGTCTGACTTGGCTTCTGGCCGGAGCACTTATAAGTATGGATGCAATCTGAGGCACTGGCTATGGTTTAAGGGAGGTTCAGAGCCGTGGATAGCACCCCCTACCATCAGGCAATAGAATGGGCAGCCATCCACATTATATCACCAGTTTTTATACCAGCAAAGTCAGGGTAGGCGAGACTAGAACAGCTTGCCCTAATTAAAAAGGGGGGCCAACCTAAGTCCTGGCCCCAGAAGCGACACCTGTCACATGAACATAGAAAACGAAATCTGGGGAATATATTGCACCCAAGGTAAGAAAGCAAACCATACTGAAGATAATATAGGGAGTCAGAGCCAAACACAAGCAGGGAGACTGAGAAACAAGGGTAGAGAAGGGAAGACAAAGAAAAAAAAATTAAACAAGAGGTATATACACTCTTAAAGAACAAATGTATGGTACAAACTTTTTCTAGACCAATTTTTGGGGAGAGTACTTCCATCTCAAATATTTTCTTAAACTAAAAGCCATCAAATTGATACTTTACATGCCCCTGATGATGATCAAGATAAAATCTGTGGGCAAAATTTATCCTCCACTGAATAGAGTGGGTATGTTCTAGCCAAACAGTCCTCTCTTGCCATTTAATTAGTAAAAACCTTAACTTGCAATAATTGGTTTCTAACATTGGCAAGAGATGAAGAAATCAAGTAATTCATTCATTACCAAAAGACTGAGGAAAGAGTAAACATGTTCTTCTGCACAACTGGAATGCAAGAAAATGTCACATGCTAGAAGGATTTGATATCCCTTTACATTGCCAGGAGTATGGCTGATTATAGTTAACGATGAAATTTGCTAGGATGACTCAAACAGGTAGTACGCATATTAAAGTTTCCAACAGAGTCTTCTGGGTTTTAGGTACACCTGTAGCAGTAAAGACTACAGAAAACCTGAATTGCATTAGGCTGACAATCAATTAGTGTATATGGGTTTCCCCTCTTTCCTTCTTAGTCACCCCATTTGGACATGTTTCCATAATTTAATGGGATGGATCAGTTTCCTTTTAGAAATTACCACATTTTATCAGGAAAAAAACCTCAAAAGTAGGAGGGCGGGCCTGAGTCAGTCTCCAGATACAGTTCCGACTTTCCCTTTTTTTAGGGAAGTTTACTTTTAGGTTTTGGTTCAGGCCCAAAACTATGAAGTCTGCCTACAAGCATGGATCTGATCTATGACCAAACATCATCTCCAGTTGTAAATCAATAGTTTTACAACCTGATTTCACAAGGCAATACTGATCCCTGTCAGCATTTTACTTTTTAGATCAGATGTTTTCCTTGCATCCCAGCATATAAATTATTGATGTGAACTTGGGAGGACGCAGATCAGAGAGTCAGGAAAAGCCCATTGAATGGGTTGTCTTTACTCCGGAATTGTCTTTCCAGAAGGACTCCTCATGTCTGTGTCTCTTCCTCTAGGATAAATGGGAACAGCTGATCACACAGAATAAGTCAGTGGAGCTTTTTGAACACGTCAGTTTGATGACCCTGGACAGCATCATGAAGTGTGCTTTCAGTTATCATAACAACTGCCAGACCAACACGTTAGTATCGGGTCCTTTCAAATCCTGATGAAAATGTTCCCATTTCCCATGCCCATATTATCCTCGCTGATATATTATCCAATTCTGACTTGTTCTGCAGTGACCTGGACTATTACATCAAAGCTGTGTATGACCTGACCTACCTGGTGTTCCATAGAATTAAATTTTTCCTGCCTAAAAGTGATTTCCTCTACCAACTCAGTCCCCAGGGACGCCGCTTGCACAAGGCTTGTAAGCTAGCACATCTCCATACAGGTATTTACTGTTGTCCTCTTTTCCATCTTCTCTTGATTGCAGGAGGTCTCATCTGGTGCGATTCATCCTGGTGGAAGGGGAGGAGAATGAATTGGCCCAACTTAAAGGGAGTGCTAGTATGATCCCCTCCTCCCAGGAGTCTTTGCAAAAGACAATAGAAACACTAGCAGCTGCCATTTAAGTGAGGAGAGCCAGGGCAGGCAAGACTCCTCCCCCTAGACCCTTGCTTTCCATTGGTCAGCATAATTTCCACCCTTTCTGGGTGCTTAACGATCTTGCTATGCCTCTGAGATTAACTACTGTTCCACAGGGATCTCATCTGTTGCAAGAGATAATCTATGAATGGAAGCTTCTCCTCCTTCTCCAAATGAAAGAAAAATAGTTTTCTAGGTCAGATAAAATACTAGGATTCAGATTTAGGCCAAATGCAACCCTGGTGGAACACCATTCCAGTTCAGTGGAGTCGCATCTGAGTTGACCCTGGCATCTGCTCTACTCCACCAATTTAGGCAAGTTGCTTAAACTCCCTGCAGTTTAGCTGGATCCTCATGAACACAAGAGAGTAAACCATCAAAACATCTCAAAAGTTCTGCCAGCTCTATGGCAGGGGCGGTACTTTAGCAGGGCAAATCTTATCTCCCACTAAGAGATATTATCTTCTGCTCAACAGCCTTGTAGTTGAAGTAGGCATATGGATATTCACAGTAAGGGTGATTAACCACTGGAACAAGTTACCCGAGAAGGAGGTGGATTCTTTATCTCAGAGTCTTGGGATGATATGCTTCAGTGAAACAGAAATGATTTGGGCTCAGGTACAGGGGGAACTGGGCCAAATTCAGTGGTTTCTGACTTGGGTAGACAAGGTCTGACTAAATCACAGTGGGCCCTTCCATCTTTAAACCCTATGAATAGTCATCCTGAAATGAAAAGTATCATTTCAGCACGAGTGGTAGCCACTTTGACTGAAATGGCAGATGCTGAACTGCAGAACTTCCAGAACCAGAAGGCATTAAACTGGTCTAGAAACAGCCAAACTTCTGTGATTGGGGACCGTGTCAACTCATGCCTTTGATGCATCAGGAGGGAGGTGGCCTCATGCTCGCCCATAGGCTATGCACTTCTTCAGAGGAAGCTTATGCCAAGCCTCCTAGGCCCACAGCACTGAGTCCTGGATGTGCCCCCGGACAAATCTCAACTGGCACACTGGTGATTACATTGGCAGACAAGGTTCTTTGGGTGAATCTGATATCTTTTATTAGACCAACTTAAATAGTTGGAAAACAATTTTTAAGCAAGCTTTTGGTGATTACATTGGGTCTCCAGATCTAAAAGGACCAACTTTAATGCTAAACACCGCTACTTACTAGCTGGTGGCTTGTAACGCTTCACATCCTCTGTGGACTGGCACACTGGAAGGAGGGGAGAGTGATTGGAAATAATGCATTAGTGTTAATCAATTGATTAATGCACTGGATCAGAATCTGAGGCACGCAACTAATTGCAACAGCTTGGCCTACAGACGGACGGGTCACAGCTTTTTGTACTCTCTCTTATGCAGACAATGTAATAAAAGAGAGAAAGAAGATGCTTCAAGATGAGAGAGAACTTGAAAAGATCAGGAAGAAGAGACACTTGGATTTTCTCGACATTCTTCTCTGTGCCAAGGTAAGGAATCAAAGATACATACATAAGCAGCCAAGAAGTATTCTTGTGTCTTACTCCATGTCAGCACCAACCATCTGCCTGTTCTTGACAATAACTTCCTTATCCTTTCCTCCTCACATTGTTGGCCAATAGGCGGGTTGGAAGGGAAAGGAAGCAAAGCTGGAGGGGTGCATGCAACTTGCAGCATTCAGCAGATAAATTGCTTTGGGAAAAATGAGTTTCTTCATCCCCACAAGTCTATTGTCATGGAACACACTAAGGGAACAGAGGCATCAGAGCACCAAAGGAAGAATGAGACTTTTTGGCATATCCCATGGAAAAATAGGGAGAGATTACATTGACTGGTGTATGCAATGTAAGGGATGTACATCAGGATCTGGGGGGAGCACCTGTTTACCAGAGCGCCCCAGGGGATGACAAAGTCCAACAGTCACAAACTCCTCCAAGACCATTTTAGGCTGGACATAAAGGAAAAACTTCTTTACTATCTGAGCCCCCAAGGCCTGGAATAGACTCCTCCCCAGAGGCAGTGCAAGCACCTACTCTGGACTCTCAAGAAAGATTTCGATGCCTATCTTGCTGGGATTCTTTGACCCTAGCTGACTTCCTGCCCCTGAGGCAGGGGGCTGGACTCAATCTTCCATGGTCCCTTCCAGCCCTAATGTCTATGAAATCTATTAAATCAATTATTTAGCTCCTTTTATTTCTTGGTGATTGCATCCTTCCATTGGGAGACGTCTGCAGATACGCTAGAGGCAGCTACCACTATGTTCTCAATGCAGCGGGGTCTCTTACAAAGGAGATGCACCCTCTGTATTCTCACCCTCTGTCCCAGAACCTTTGCTTCCCTTCTCTCTCATTTTGTTTCTTCTTTTATCTTGTCATCTAACATGGAAGTAATCCTTGCTCAAAGTATACAGCTACTCTTGGTGTAGAAGAAAGCATGGCAAGAACTCTTGTAGTGAGAAGAAGTTGGCATGTTAAAGTTAGTGTTCTTCGCAAGCTTTGCACCTGACATCTTAGTGAATCTAAGCTGGATCCAAGTAGGATCAAAGCTCAACACCAATACTTGAGGGGGGTTGCCTGACTTAGTTCCCGATGGACCTGACCTGATCTCACCTCACATACATCAGGTTTTACTCCTTCACTGTCAGAGCTGCTTGAACATAAATGAAATAGGAAGTCAGGCCTGTTAACTTCACTAATGAATTTTTCACTCCAGAAAAAAGCATGCACATTTTTCAGCGTTTTGCAATAACTCATCTCCCTTCTTTCTCAGGATGAAAATGGAGTTGGATTATCTGATGAGGACCTACGTGCCGAGGTGGACACGTTCATGTTTGAGGGTCATGATACCACGGCCAGTGGGATCTCCTGGGTGTTATACTGCATGGCTCTGTACCCAGAGCACCAGCAAAGATGCAGGGAAGAGATCCAGGAGATTCTGGACGGCCGGGACACAGTTCAGTGGTAAGATCCAGCTCATTTTTCTACTAATGAGCAACATAAGGTAAATTTTGTCTAAGAAGGAAAAATCATGACTATTTCATAGGTTCTTCATTTAGAGATAACAATACTCATGAGTGCCAAGGAGGTTGAGAGTCAGATCCAAACAAACTTTGGGTTAAGGGCTCTTCATCTCGGAGACATTAAATTTGTCTCTCTCTCATTAAAATGCAGCTGCTTCACTGGGATAGAAAGCTTAAACCTCTTGAAGTCACTGAAGTTGCCATCAGGATACAAGGCAGCATATGGCCTATAGAGTTTGATATATAAATGGGGGGAAGAAAAGAATCCAAAACAGTCTCTTGCAAAATTTAATCCCCAATAATCAGAGCTGGCATTTCTAGAGATTCATTCAAGTACTTTCAACACATCCTGGTGAAGCAGGTGGGGTTTTTTTTTTTTATTGTGGTAGAGCCTAAAAACCCTAGTCATAACACAATGACCCCTGGTCTGTGTTGCAGAAACACAAAACAAGCATGGCTTTAGTGCCAGAGAGCTTGCAGTTAGGAGAGCAAATGCATTGAGAGATGAAGAGTTTGTCTACACTGCTACATAAAGGCTTCTCCTAGACTTAGGCTAGTGGTCAGGTCTATCAACCATCTACATTAAAAACCTTTATGCTGTAGGCAAACTTCCTCTTAGCCTGTCTCTCCTATGCAGCATATTCAGAAGTCCCCAGAGATAAAACCTGAGAACACAGGAAGTCCACCAGCACCTGAATTCCTGCTCTTGGATATCCTACTTCCTATCTTGACTGTCAGTCATGAGAGTAAAGCAGAGAAGTAGCTAGTGTGAGGATGGATTCCTAGAAGAACTTGTGTTTGGGACTCTGTCACAGCAAAATAATGTAGATTGGGAGTAGGGTACATGTCTGGAGATAAGGTTGAGCCTAAATAGCACTATAACTCTAAGCAATGTCCTGCAGTTCTGGCAGGACATCTGTACCAGAAGTGGTTACAAAACCCATAACTTATAACTCAGCATTAAGCTTTGGTTCCAGGATCACTTTCTCCATCTTTAAATGATAAAAGTGTAGTATGACTGGCAGAGGCCAGATGCTTCTGGCTAGTATTTTTGTGGAGGAAGGTGCTGCCCCATTTGCAGTTTCCACCTGTGGTTGCTTCCAGGGAGGACCTTGGTAAGATGACTTATACCACCATGTGCATCAAGGAGACCCTGCGTTTGTACCCACCAGTCCCTGGGGTGGCCCGACAGCTCAGCAAACCCATCACGTTTATCGATGGCCGGAGCTTACCAGAAGGTTTGTCTGCTCATTTTGCACTCAGGGGCATAACTATCTTGCACCACCATCCTTAACACCCCCATGGAAATGATCCTTTGCCCTTGAACGCATCTCGGTCCAAAGAGATGGCATAGTGCTTCTATGCAATTGAAGGGGAAGAGCAGCTTGTGGTGCTCAAGGGTCTCATTATGCCTCCATTATCATTTACAATGCGACTCTCAGATTGGGTCCTTGATCCCCCACCTATGGTTGCCACAGGGTTTCTCGGATTCACTGCTACCCAACTGGTGGCCCATGGGCTTCATGTGTGGCTTACCCTGGTGTGGCCTCCACTGGTACAGCCGTGTAGGTCAACATGTTGCTGGGGGGATGGGGGAATGTGGCCCATACAGTGTGGCGGGGGGACAGGGCCAACATGTGTGTTCACCAGGCCTGGGGCCTCAGGCTACTCAGAAGTTGGACATCCCTAGAGTAGATCACAGCTCTTTGTTTCCCTTCAGCTAGTATGTCTGATTAACTCTCCCTGGTTGTCTCCTGCCCACTCAGCAGCGAGGGAGAGAAGCCAACTTCCTTTCCTCCAACTCCACTAGTAAAAGTTTTACCTGGGGCAGATGAGTTTCTTGGCTTTCTTTGCATCTGCTCCTCCAGGCTCCAAGTGCAGTCCTTCCCAATGCTCAGATGCTTTTATCCAACCTCTTAACCACTCCTCTATGGAAAGAGAGACTCAGGCCTCCGCTAAAAATCACCTGCTCATGGATTATACTGTATTGCATTGTCAAGCATGCACTTGGAACAAAGGCCTTGACCCAAAGCCCATGGAGAGGCAACAGGCTTCTTCCTGTGAACTTCAACAGAATTTGGATCAATTCGGTAGGGACCAACCCCCACACAATGATTGGCTGCTAGGTGTGAACATAAGAGCTCCGGATAATCAGATGCAACAAGTGAAGACAATGATGTCACAAATTGCCTCTCTCTATCTTCAAGGGCAGAATACACAAGTGCATAATTGTGCAAATCAAGGAAAATCTGGCTCCAAAATTATACCAATTGTCAGGAAGGTCACAAGCATTGAAGTGTTCCTAAACCTCCTCTCTCCCTGTGGCTGCTGTGGTTCCTCATGCTCACACACCAATTAAGTGACACGTTAACATACCCAAATGACTTTGAAGCTGAGCATACGCACACACCGAATGGGGAGTTTCACCAGTTCTAGCAAGTCTTCCATCAGCACTCCCCTTGGCCATTTCACCAGCGATACACGACTCGAAACCGAATCCAGTTCAAATGTATTTGTTTAAACTTACATTTTTTCTTCATCTGCCCCATCCTGCAAGTGAAAAGTATTAAAACACCTCTATTGCTTCCTGAGCTACTACATGAAGCAGCAATGCAAAGCTTGTAGGCTTTCGTGGACTCAAAAAAAAAAATAAAAAAAAAAAAAGAGTAGGGCTGGAAGGGACTTCAGGAGGTCATTTAGTCCAAGTCTCTGCTCAAGGCAGGATCATCCCCAACTCAACCATCCCAGCCAAGTTTTTTTCTACCCTACTCTTAAAAACATCCAAGGATGGAGATTCTACAGCCTCTCTCGAAAGTCTAATGAGAAATTTCTTCCTCTCACCTCTTCGGAAAGTAAAAGCTAGCGAGCCACAACGATGCACCAGTGGCAGGAATAGAGGTTACTAAGCCGTTATTACATGGTCCTGTATAATAGCAGTTTGCTCTGTGATCTCACAAGCCTCTCTCTTGCAGGACTAGTGATTTCAGTGAGCATTTATGCCCTCCATAGGAACCGGAGCATGTGGAAAGATCCAGAGGTACTTTGACCTTTACAAAAGTAAGAGAAAGCTGATCCAACTGTTTAGACAAAAAAACAACTGAGTTTCAGGATAGCTGGGAACCAGCTTTGACACCTTCTTCCTTCAAAATACTTCTAACCAAAAATCATTTGGACAGGGGTGTGTTTGATTCAGACTCGAAATGAGATCTGTGCAGAGCAAGATGCAGTAAAACTTTAAAGGATGAGCTTGCCCTAAAGATTCTGTATCTTGCACAGTGAACGATGAGGATGTTTAAAATTGGTTGCACTGGCCATCTCCTCCCGTTTGATTGGCAATGTGGGTGGGATTAATGGGAGAGAGACAGTTCAAATAGTTTTCTAGACCCAATGAAAGGGTACTTTGGAGAATGGGAGGTGGCTCAGGGAAGAGAGAGCTGCAAAAGGAAGCTCTGTGAAACAGCACTTTCCTTCTGCAAGATTTAGCTCACCTCTCCAGTTAGCACATTTCAGCTTTCCTTTTGAGCATGGCTAACCAATCACTTAAAGGAGATCACAGCCACTTCCCATTGTGCTGTCCTAGCAGATTTGCCATGTTGGGGCCCCCCATATCAGATGCCCGTGTAACTCCTCTGCCAGAATTAGATCTCGTGTTTGGCTGTGACCAGGCATCTTCTGCACAAGCTCGCTGGGGAAATGTTGTGGCCTGCACCCTTCATAAATCTAGAAACCTAGTGCATTTCTGGCTGGAGCCAAGCCAAGCCATGCTCTATTTGATGATTGCAAACCTTTGCAGCCAACCCTTAAAAAACCCTCTCTCCTCGCAGGTGTTTGATCCAATGAGGTTTTCACCGGAGAACACCTCCCAGCGGCACTCGTATGCTTTCCTGCCCTTTGCAGCTGGAGCCAGGTGGGGAACAGTTCAGGGACACCCTGAAGGGCTGGGATCCCTTCATTTCTATGTTGGGGTGGGGGGAAAAAAACCTTTCCCTTAGCCATTAGGATTCTCACAGTGTTTTTCACAAGAGGGGAGCTGTTGCCTTAAATGCCAGCTGGAATAGTTGCATTGGTTTCCCTGAAGTTTCCTTCAGAGAGAAGCACCTCATCTTCATAGATTTCATTGACATTAGGGCTAGAAGGGACCTCAGAAGCTCATCAAGTCCAGCCCCCGGCCCCAGGGGCAGGAAGTCAGCTGGGGTCAAAGTATCCCAGCAAGATAGGCACTATATGCACTATATCTTATGCACGATATAAGAACAGCTGCCATATTTCTCCCCAGAGGCAGCTGCCCTTCAGTAATGAAAGAAGTGCTTCCTATAAGACAAGCAAGTCATGCAGTGTATCAAGTCCCCCATCGGTAAAGAGGCTCCTCGTGACAGGCACTGTGCATGCAGCACAGGAATGAATCCCTGCACACACCGCTCCCCCGAGGCAGCACAACCTGTTGGCAAAGCATGTCAAATGCCAGGGGACCTTTGGGGAGGACGGTGCTCCCCCAAAAGCGAGAGCTCAGCTCATACTCATTGGCTTTCTCCTGCCTCTCCCCAGGAACTGCATCGGGCAGCAGTTTGCCATGAACGAGATGAAAGTGGCTCTCGCCCTGACCCTGCTGCGCTTTGAACTCTCCCCCGACCCGGCCAAGCCCCCCAAGCCGGTCCCTCAGCTTGTCCTCAAGTCTCAGACCGGGATACACCTGTTCTTAAGGAAACTTCCTTGATACCATGGAAAGCAGGGAGCATCACAGGGGCTTCTGCAACATTCACTTGTTACCAAGGGAGTGCAAGCAATATACTTGCTTAGATGCATACCCCTGTTCAGCCAGCCCTGGCTATAATTTCTCTTTGGCCGCTCGGTGCCAGTTTTCTGTTGCCTCCCCAAAGATTGGGGGAAGCAAGTCTCAAGGGAAGAGAACGCACATTCTGACCATGACAATAAAAAAAAGCCACAGACTCGCCGTTTCCTGACTAAGAAACTCTTTGCTCATCAGTGCAAGCAAATGTGGTCTTACACTCCAACTTGCATGCAAGTGAGGGCAGCAACTTCAGGCCCCACATTGCACAAGCAGATCATTGCACACCTGTTCTCCAACACAAATTGTAGAAGGCAGAGTTGCAGTGGACTAACTCTTTCTCCATAGGACTTAAGTGAGCCTTGATTCCCAACCCCTGATAACCAATGGGTTAACTCAGGGCTGCCCAACTGGCAGCCTGTAAGCCACATGTGGCTTGTGAAGGGTTCATTTGTAGCCCCCCAGGTCCCACCTAGGTACTGCTCCCTTCACTTCCAAAAAGTTGCCGCTACCAGGATGGCCGGACTCTGCATCCCTCCTCCAGATGTTGCTTTCTGCTTTCCACCATCCTCTGCCCTTAGCTTGTGTTCATCTGGGTTAAAGCTCGAATAGGCAGCCTTGTCGACTCTGGGGTTTTAGCCAGCAGTCTCTGCACCAGGACAAACCTCTCATGCTGCCGTGACTGAGTGCTGCAGTGAAGCTGCATTTGCATTTAACCCAGTGATTCTCAGGCAGGGCATTGAGAGAGCCTTTGAAAAGGTGTTGCAAAGTGCCATGCAATACAAGCACTGTTAGGTGTGCAAACACCTACGCCATTCACAAGATAAGACCACAGGTTTCAAATACAAATCCAGACCACCAAAGCCATTCAGATCTGTTGTGGGCTGAGTTCTATGCTCTATTATTTTTCCTTAATCAAAAGTGAGTGAAAGCAAAGGGATGGTGTTTTCTGGGTCTAACAGGGGGGCCCTCGAGTCTATAAAGGTTGAGTCACTGATCTAACCCTCCATGTATTTGTTGCATCAGTTGCGCTGTATCTTATTCCCCAGACAAAATGTTTAACAGAGGTATGAATTCCACCCCAAAAACCCACTCCCACCCCCGATCATGGATAAACACTGAAGCATCCCATTCAAGGAGAGACCTCCTTTTCAGTTAGGTGAAATCTTTACCACTGTGGGCAGCTCTGGTATTTTTCTTCATCATCTTAGAGCAAAAGCATTGGGGCGAGAGGGGGAAATCTCAGATCCGAATCTGAACATTGAGAATAATTAGATCCAGTCATCAGTCATGTGTATATTGACACTATATAGCACGGGCAAGAGCCATGCATATGCTTTCTTCATGAATGAAGGCCATAGGAACACCCAAATATGAAGTCTATTCATGGGCCAAAATGTAGCATCAAAGAAAAAGGCCAGCATCATTAAAGCAATGATGTGTGCATTTGTAGATACCAGACAGCCAAATTCTGCCTGGATCTAGAGTTGTGTGGTTTCATTCAAATGTAGGGCATAAACTGGGATATCATTAACACATTTATAATAGAATACATGCCATCCCAATAAGTGCATAGCTTGCCTAAATGCAGAAGGCAGTGCCAGTCTGTCTATTGCTTACATTACGACAAACATGGGGCTCAGTGTAGTTTCACTTAAAAGCACTTTGGATAAGTGCATAATTTGCTTAACTGTATCACAGGAGGCTAGATCCTATTTTTGCATATTGTTCACAATAGTGTAAGCAAGCAAGTACTCCTATAGCGTGCAGTGCATCCCAGATTTGTATGCAGCCATGGAAATACGCTTAGTTACTCTCCCTTTGGTGAATCTTCTGCAAAATATGTTCCTGACCTCTCCAGCAGTTTTGCAGATGCTTACAAGCCAGCAAGTTGGGGTCCAGACATGCCTGAACTTGGAGAAAAAGTTCAGATCTATTTACATTTCTTTCAACAGGCTCAGGATTCAAACCCTCTCTCCAGGGAGAGATTTCACAAGTTGAATATAGAATAAAACACTTAGAAAATAACAGCTTGTACAAGAAAGCAGTGAAGTGTTTTTTATGGATCAAAAAGTACCGAGAGCTGCTAATAAAATTCATGACATGCGTTAGTATAAAAAAGGCTACTGTGGAATCACTTCAACCAATAAACCGACTACAGCTATTTCTGGGTAAAGGGCCATTGATGGTTAAACAGCCCACAGCAACAGCAGCACTGTGCAACAGTCTACATCAGTGGTGAAGGAATGCCTCATGATGCCCTGCGGACAATAATTTTCTCTAGGCAAATGGGACTGGCCAGACTGGAAGTACATGGAAAGTCACTCGGGGTAAAATTCCCAAAGCCCTGAGAAAAATGCCTGGAGAGACTGAATTTGGAGAAATAGGTTGGGATAGGGGGACAGATCTAGGGGGTGCACTGGTACAGCTGTACCCTCCTTTGATTTCTGCTCCATCCCAAGTTTAAAACCAACTGTCCAGCTGCAGCAGCTGCATCTCTATTCAGGCAGTGCTGAGGGAGCCACTTGACTTCATGGCTCATTATAAATCTACCAGATGCTTTCTAAACTCTTCACTCCACAGGTGTTAACGGTACTCTCCCCTTTTTAATGGTCTTGCTATTCCACTAATCAAGCTACCCTTTTGTCTGCAATGGCGCTGTCTGTTAGCTGTTCCTGGTAAGGTAGCTCCTCTGTCACAGCCCTGCAGATAGTTTAACTCATATTCCAATGAAGGTATATTTGTTTTGGCTTTGATCTTAAATTGTATAATGCCACCCTAGACCCTTGGCATATTAGCAAAGCTTCTAGTTTTGCTACCTGGAGAAAGATAGGTGCTGTATTATATGGGATGATGCACCCATCGCTACCCTACTTCTCAAACTCCTAGAGCTGCCAGTGATTGGGAGGGATCTTCTACATTCTCAGCAAAGAAATAGCACTTCCACCAGTACTGCACTCCTGACTGTGATGCAGACTGAGGGGATAAAAAGCACTCAATCCTCCACAACAATATTGTAATCTGATGTTTAACAGAGTTTCTGCAAAGGAAAGGATTTGGGGTCACGCCTGACCAACCCAATTGCCTTCTATGATGAGATGACTGGCTCTGTGGATGTGGGGAGACTAGTGTACCTTGATTTAAGCAAGGCTTTTGATATGGTCTCCCACAACATTCTCCCAAGCAAGCTTAGGAAGTACAAGTTGGTTGAATGGACTGTAAAACTGGATAGAAAACTGGCTGGAGCATCAGGCTCAGTAGTAATCAATGGCTCAATGCCTAGTTGGCATCTGGGATCAAGTGGAGTGCCCCAGGGGTTGGTCAGTCCTGGGGCTGGTTTTGTTCAATATCTTCATCAACGACCTGGAAGATGGGATGGAGTGCACCCTCAGCAAGTCTGCAGATGACACCAAGGTGGGGGAGTAGTAGATACGTTGGAGGGGGAGGGCTAGGATTCAGAGAGACCTCTACCAATTTGATGACTGGGCCAAAAGAAATCTCACGAGGTTCAACAAGAACAAGTACAAAGTCCTACACTTAGGATGGAGCAATCCCATGCACCGGGGCATGCTGGGGGTGACTGGCTGGGCAGCAGCTCTGCAGAAGAGGACCTGGGGGGTGACAGTGGACAATACACTGAATATGAGCCAGCAGTGTGCCCTTGTTGCCAAGAAGGCGACCGGCATCCTGGGCTGCACTGGGAGGAGCGTTGCCAACATATCAAGGGCAGTGATTATTTCTCTCTATTCAGCACTGGGGAGGCCACATCTGGACTCCTGGGCCCAGTTTTGCACCCCCACTACAGAAAGGATGTGGACACAATGGAGAGAGTCCAGTGGAGGGAAATAAAAATGGTTTGGGGGCTGCAGGACATGACTGGTGAGGAGAGGCTGAGGGAGCTGGGATGATTTAGTCTGGAGAAGAGGAGACTTAATATCCACCTTCAACTGCCTGAAGAGGGGTTTGGAAGAGGGTGGAGCTGTTCTCAGTGGGGGCAGATGACAGGACAAGGAGCAATGGGCTCCAATTGCAGCAAGGGAGGTTGAGGTTAGATATTAGGAAAAACTCTCGTTAAGAGGGTGGTGAAGCACTGGAACAGGCTCCCCAGAGAGGTGGGGGAGTCTCCATCCTTGGAGGTTTTCAAGACCCGGGTAGATAAAGCCTGGGCTGGGATGATGTAGTTGGGGCTGGACCTGCTTGGAGCAGGGGGTTGGACTAGATGCGACTCCTGACGTCCCTTCAACCCTCGTTGTGTAGGGCTATGGATGTCTGCGCCAAGCTGAATCAGGGCACCAGGTGGCAGCAGAGTGATTCCCAAATATTATTGAACAGCCTCAACTGAAAAGCTTTGGCCTGCAGGGAAGGCAGGTACAGCTAAATCCATTTGAATTTTGACATGTAGGACTTCTGGCCATGTCAGAGCCCTCCTTTGTGCTTGTTCAAGTCAGTTATAGACTTGAGAGATCTAAATTTCAATGGTTCAAACCCTCCTGCCAAGGCAAAGTTTTAATTTCAAGCATTTCACCAAGGCTAAGTTTTAAAACAACTTTCTCTCTGCAAAGTTTTATTTAAGAAATCCCACAGAATGAAGGGGAGGAATCGATACTGAGTGGGTGATGTGATGGGCCGGGGACTAAGGTCATACGTGGCTCAGAGAAGAAGCAGAGCGATTTGGAAGGACGAATCAACTCGCGTTTGTGGTCCAGTCGGGGAAATGAAGCACGAGGTTCACCTGTGCATGGCACCAGAGCTATGCAGTGCTTTTGTGTAGTTGTTCTTTGTCTTGCAGCAATGCCCAGGCATGGGACCAGGCCCCCCTCCTGCTAGATGCTGATTTAGGAACGATTCCTACTCAAGCACCATCAGCTGCAGTCTCTCCCCCACCGCCAGCTCTGGTGCTCAGTGCTGTTATTTGGGGATAGCAGGATGAATGCGGTCCCCTGGCAGATCTCTGTTAGAAAACAATCTGCACTTGCAGCAGGGGCACCTGGTTTCAGAAAGGCACCAGCTAAAAGGATCAAGTTCACTGGCTGCAGAGTAGACTAGGCCACCCAGGACCGTCATCATTTGGGCTTTGGATGCTCCAGGTTTCACAACATACAGCATCTCCATCTGCTCCTCTTCAGCCTGGCTTCTTGTTCCTGCTTCCCATGTCCGTGTGTCCCG